CGATGCGAAGGGAGAAGACTACACAAAGGTCACATTCAAGCCTGACTTCGCCAAGTTCGGAATGACGGGCATTGACGATGATTTCGAGGCGCTTGTCAAACGCCGTGTTTATGACTTGGCTGGAACAGCGAAGGTGGCCGTGAAGCTGAACGGTACACGCGTTCCCGTTCGGAACTTCAAAAAGTATATGGAAATGTACACCAAGGCTATCAGGAGGGAGCGCGGCGAGGAGGGCGCGGGGGCTAAAGATGAAATCATCACCTGCAGCCCGGACCCTCGATGGGAGGTCGGTTTTGCGGTCTCTGATGGCTCCTTCCAGCAGGTGTCCTTTGTCAACTCCATCGCGACTACCCAAGGAGGTACACACGTGAACTACATCGCGGATCAGATTTGTAGTAAGCTCGCCGAGACTGTCAAGAAGAAGAACAAGAATGGCGCCACGTTGAAGCCAGCCCAAATCCGCAACCACATCTTCATCTTCGTCAACGCCCTGATTGTCAACCCGGCGTTCACCTCCCAGACCAAGGAACAACTCACGACCAAAACATCTCAATTCGGTAGCAAATGCGTTCTTGATGACGATTTTTACAAAAAGGTCCTGAAGACAGAAGTGATGAACAACATCTTGCACTTTGCCCAGCAAAAAGCCGATCAGATGTTGAAGAAGACCGACGGTGGCCGGCGCAGCCGCATGAACAACCCCAAATTGACGGATGCTAACAAAGCTGGCACTAAGGACGGCCATCACTGCACCCTGATCTTGACTGAGGGTGAATCAGCCAAAGGTCTGGCCGTGGCTGGACGATCAGTTGTCGGTCCTGACCTGTTCGGTGTGTTCCCGCTTCGAGGAAAGCTGCTCAACGTGCGTGATGCGTCCTTTGATCAGATCTCGAAGAATGCAGAGATTCAGAATATCAAGAACTTCATTGGTCTTCAACACAAGAAGGAATACACCGACACCCGCGGTCTTCGGTATGGTCACTTGATGATCATGACAGATCAGGATCACGACGGCAGTCACATCAAGGGGTTGCTCATCAACTTCCTCCAGGCCCAATTTCCCAGTTTGTTGAAAATTCCTGAGTTCCTGATCGAGTTCATCACTCCCATTGTCAAGGTGTGGAAGGGTGATCCCAAGAATCCCACCAAGCAACGGTCTTTCTTCACCATGCCAGAATATGAGGTGTGGAAGGAGGAGCACAAACATGAACGCGGCTGGGAGCACAAGTACTACAAGGGTCTGGGTACCAGCACCACTGAAGATGCTCAGGTCTACTTCCGTGATCTCGATCGTCATTTGAAGGAATTCCATACTTTGCAGGATAACGAGGCTGGGCTCATTGAACTCGCCTTTTCCAAAAAGAAGGCGGATGAGCGAAAGGAATGGCTTCGCCAGTTCAAGCCTGGAACGTTCCTCGACCACTCCGTGTCCAAGATTACATATACCGACTTCATCAACAAGGAGCTTATCTTGTTCAGTATGGCGGATAACGTCCGGTCTATTCCTTCAGTTGTTGATGGCCTTAAGCCTGGTCAGCGCAAGGTTTTGTACACTTGCTTCCGTCGCAACTTGAAGAAGGATATGAAGGTTGTCGAGCTTGCTGGTCACGTTTCGGGTATGACCGCGTACCATCACGGTGATGTTTCACTGCAACAGACCATCGTCGGCCTCGCGCAGACCTTCGTTGGTTCCAACAATCTCAACGTCCTGGAGCCTAGTGGTAACTTCGGTAGTCGTCTCCAGGGTGGATCCGACTGTGCTAGTGCGCGTTATATCTACACTCGACTGTCTCCGTTCGCTCGTCGTGTCTTCCACCAAGCGGATGAGCCTCTTCTGACCTACAACGTCGATGACGGAGCTACGATTGAGCCGGAGACCTACGTACCAGTCGTTCCCATGATCCTGATCAATGGTGCAGATGGTATCGGTACAGGTTGGAGTTCTTCTATTCCCAACTACAACCCAGAGGATATCGTGGACAACCTGAGACGTATGATGGACGGTGAGCCAACCAAGCCTATGCAACCTTGGTTCCGAGGCTTCACTGGTGAAGTTACCGACATTGGCGGCGATCGGTTCAAATTCAGCGGTGTCATCAAGGAAACCGGGGAGAAGGAAGTCGAGATCACCGAACTTCCTATCCGTACCTGGACTCAGGACTTCAAGGACAAGCTTGAAGACATAATCAAGGCCGAGAAGACGCCCTCTTTCATCAAGGACTACAAGGACTACAACACCCACACCAAGGTTCATTTCGTCATCCAGCTGGACGAAAAGAACATGAAGTCCGCATTGTCTGAAGGATTGGAAGAGAAGTTCAAGCTTACAAAGACTGTCGCCACCACCAATCTGGTCGCTTTCGATCCCGAAGGCCGGATTACGAAGTATGCGACAGTCGATGACATCCTTAAGGAGTTTTATGCGCTCCGTCTGAAGTTCTACGAGCGACGCAAGCAACATCAGCTCTCGGAGCTGCAAAGAGAATTGGACAAGCTCAGCAATCAGGCCCGCTTCGTTCAGATGATTATTGACGGGGATCTGATTGTTTCGAAGAAGAAGAAGGCGGCCCTGGTTCTTGAATTGAAAGACAAGGGCTTCAAGCCGTTCCCCAAGGTTGCTCAAGCCGTCAAGGCGGGCGAGACTGAGCCAGCTCTCGAGGATGAAGAGGAGGAGTCGGCCAACGAGAAGGACACTGACAACCTCTCTAATGCCTACGACTACTTGCTGGGCATGGCTATCTGGTCCTTGACGCAGGAGCGCGTGGAGAAACTCCGGAAGCAAATTGGGGACAAGGAGATGGAAGTTGACGCTTTGATCAAGCTGTCCAAGGAAGACATCTGGAGAAAGGATCTCGATGACTTCATCAATGAGTGGCGATTCCAGCTGGAAGACGAGGCCCGTCGCGAGCGCAAGGTCATGCAAATGGGTCGTCGTGCCTCCTCTAAGTTGATGACTGCCGCTCGTGGACCCGTCGGTCGGAAGCGTAAGGCGGCCCTTGATGAGGATCCCGATGATGAAGACTTTGCTGCGCCAAAGACCAAGAAGGCTGCTGCGAAGAAGGCCGCACCGAAGGGAACACTGCACAATTTCCTGAGCAAGTCTCCTGCCAAGCCCGCTGCGAAGCCGATCGACGACGACTCCGACGACGATTTCCTGGAGGTTCTTCCTAAGAAGAGCCGAGGTGGATCGTCGAAACCCGAACCTGTCCAGAAGGAAGAGCCAGTCTCGGGTGATTCAGACATTGAGATCTTGCCCAAGAAAAGCCGAGCTACCTCCAAGGCCTCCGCTAGGGTGAAGTCTGAAGACCCTGAAAGCTCCGAAGTCAAAGAAGCTCCCAAGCGTGGACGGAAGCCCAAGTCGAAGCCTGCAGACGATGACGACCTCGACGACGATGCCTTCCTCGAAATCGCCAAAGCTCAGGCCTCTGAGGCTGCCAAGCCCTCCCCCAAACCTGCGCGGGCGGCTCGCAAGGCAACCAAGTACGCCTTGAGTGATTCGGACAGCGACAACGGAGATGACTTGTTGGGAGACGTGAGCAAGATGGTGAAGGGGATTGGTGGCACCGCGGGCGGGTCCACGTCGAATTCTCTCGAGCTCTTCTCCGAGCAGTCCGGACCTGGCAGCCGCTCGGGACTGCAGACTAGCACCAAGCCGTCCAAGGCGTCGCCTGACTTCGATGCGGACGAGACCGACTACAGCAAGTTGGTGCCTCAGGGCTCGCCCCGACGGTCCCTTCAGGTGAAGTCCAAGGAACCTGTTACTCTGTTGGATGATAGCGACGAGGATGAGCCTGTGAAGCCAGCGGTCACTAAGGCGAAGCCGGCCGCCAAGGGCAAGGCTGCTGCTTCAACTGCTGCTAAACCGGCCGCCAAGACGCGTGGTCGCCCGAAGAAGGATGCCACCACCAAGACTGCAGCTGCCGCACCTACAAAACAGACCACCCTGTCTCCAGCAGCCAAGGCATATGCTTCTAAGCAGGCGAAGACCAGCGCCGCTGCGAAGAAGAAGCAGCTGGCGGATGATCTGTCCGACGATGACATCGATGCCATGGCCAACGACATCTTGGACTCGCCGGCGGCTCCGGTCAGTCGGCCTTCGCGGCGCACGGCCACCACGAAGAAGAAGACCTATGTGATTGACGATGATGATAGCGATGATAGTGTTGGAGGGGGCAGTGATTCGGGAGATGACTTTGAAGATAGCGAGTAAGGAGCGAGTGATGGAATCAATGGAAATCTAGAAGGGATCTTGCGATGCTGAGCGTCCATGGGAAGCCCTGGCCCCGTTCTCTTTTCATTATGTATCTTTTCCTACCTCTTTTCATTACAGGATCTATATTCTTTGTTTATTAGTAGGACGTGTTCATCAATTGCAAAGGGAGAGATTTCCTGCGGGCGTTTTTGTTTATGGTGGGTGGGATGATGAGTTGGGAGCAATGAAAGCCGAATTGCAAATATTGCAAGCACTGCAAGCACTACGTAGTGTGTTCTCTTCTCTTCTCGTCCGAGTAAGTTAAGGCACCGACCGGACTTCAGGCCGATCTCCGGCAGACCCACTGAGCTAGTGTGGCTAGTGTGGCCTCAGGCGTCATCGACTTGACTCTTCGCCTTCGGTCACCCGAGGATCATCCCAAATCCTACCAAGTTCTCCCAAGTTCTCCCAAATCCCTCCCCTCCTACAGGCGGACTATACTGCCCCTCCCGGATAGTCCAAGGAGTTAGGAGTTAGTTCCCTTCTCTGGCCTTCTGCCCTTCGAAGAAGTGGATCTGGTGGGTCGCAAGGAAGTGAGGTCGGCGTTCATCCGGTCTCGAGCCACCTTTTGCTCTCAATTTCTCATTTCTTATCACCGTCCCATTAATCAGCAGGGCAGAGCCTTTTATTGTCTCGATATCGTCAAAGGTTTGTCTCTCCATTTCTTTTTTCGAACCCGTCTTGCCATTCCGGTTTTTGGTGCTTCTATCCCACCCGCAACGGTTGCGTCTGTTTCACTGACTCTCTCATGCAGGCCTATCTTCAGTATCGACGCATCGGCCACGCCGTGCGCAGGCAGCTCGAAGAAGAGTATCCGGGCTTTTCCCGAGCCGAGAAGACCGATGAATTGACCGGCGGCGATGTCCCGAGCAACAACGCCCAGCGGCACCCCCCGGACCTTCAATTACCCGGGGTGCAGCTGAAGGAGATTGTCGACGACGATGGAACCACCTCCTCCGTTCTCCTCGTCGAATGGGAACATGACCACGACCCCATCAACCCACGCAACTACAGCCGCGGCGCGCGGATCTCGGCGACCCTGCTCGTGACGGCGCTGGCGTTTGCCGTGGGATGTGCGTCGTCGATTGAGTCGGGGGTGATGCCTCAGAATGCCGCGGCGTTCCATGTCAGTGATGTCGTCGCCTCTCTGGCCACGGGCATGTACCTGCTTGGGTTCGCTGCGGGCTCCATGGTGTCTGGCCCCCTGTCCGAGGTCGTCGGCCGCAATGCCGTGTACACGGGGTCTCTGACCCTGTTCATGATCTTCATCATGGCCTCTGGGCTGGCGCCGAACATCGGGGCGCAGATCGTGTTTCGGTTTCTGGCCGGCGTGTTTGGCTGTCCTCCGTTGACCTGCGCCGGAGGGACCATCGCTGATCTGTGGAATCCGTTGGAAAAGACACTCACGTTCCCTCTGTATGCGATCCTGTCGTTTGGCGGGCCGGTGCTCGGTCCGGTGATCGCATCGTACATGGGCGAGGGCACGCTCTCCTGGCGGTGGACCAACTGGATCATCCTGATCATGTCCGGATTCATTTTTGCATTGATCCTGCTGTTGCAGCCGGAGACGTATGGCCCCATGCTGCTCAAATGGAAGGCGCGTCATCTCCGGAACCTCACGGGGGATCCGCGTTACAAGTCCTCCATGGATCTCCAGAAGACCGCGCTGCTCTCCCGAATCAGCGGCGCATGCATCCGACAATTCAGTCTCACCATCCACGAGCCCATCATCCTGTTGATCTCCCTCTACATGACCGTGATCTACATCGTGCTGTTCACCTTCTTCGATGGGTACACCTACATCTTCTCCGACATCCACGGCCTCTCGCAGGGCCTCACCAACATCGTCTGGGTCGCGATGTACGTCGGGATCGTCTGCGCGGGGCTGTTCGTGCCGCTCATCTACCGCTGGACGAAGCGAGAGTTCAAACAAGCCGCTCTTGCCCCTTCGTCGTCGTCGTCGTCATCATCTTCTGACACCGACGAACCAGTCGACCCCAACCCGAACAACCCGCACGAGCAGCCCGCACCCACCGCGGACGAGACGGTCCCCCAGAAGCCTCACCACCATCACCACGCCCCGCGCCCCGAAAACCGGCTCTGGTTCGCCATGATCGGCAGCCCGTTCATCCCGCTCAGCCTCTTCTGGATGGGCTGGACCTCGTACGCCAGCGTGTCGGTGTGGTCGCCCATCGTGGCCTCGGCCGTGTTCGGCTTCGGCACCATCACCGTCTTCATTTCGTCGTACATGTACGTCATCGACGCGTACGACATCTACGCCGCGTCGGCGCTGGGCTTCATGACGGTCTCGCGCTACTGCGCCGCCGGCGGGATGACCGTGGTGGGCGTGCCGTTCTACCAGAACATGGGCGTGCACTGGACGCTGACGATCCTGGGGGCCATCAGTGCGCTGATGGTGCCCGTGCCGTATGGGTTCTATCGGTGGGGAGTGAAGATCCGTGGGTGGAGTCGGTTTGCGGTCTAGACGGCGGGAAAAGGAGGATGCTGTTGGTGGGTGGTTTGCTGTGAAGGGACCTGCAATGTGGTGTCTCTTGGGAAGATGGTTGGGATGATTGGTGGGATTGTTAGATGAGTGGGAAATGGTCTGGTTGGCTGAGGTGCGGTCGTTTGCTTTACGTTCTCTTCCGAGCGCCGCAGACTAAGTCACGGGGTCTTAACTTGCTATTCCCTCTTTCGGGTCTTTTGCACCGTTTTTTTTTTTTTTTTTTTTTTTTTTCCTCTTTGCGCTCGGTTCTTCCGCTACGTTGTCCTTCTTGGGGACGAGGTGGTTTGGCACTGGCGGGGTACATCAAAAGCGATATATTGGTTGGATACTTGGATACTTGGATACTTAGATTGATAGATTGATGGATTGGTACACATATAGATAGATGGCATAATGTAATTAGACGGGATTCAAATACAGACAGATGCACGGGTCATGGTCAGATCTCAAGTGTTGTTGCCTCCGGAGAAACTAGCACAGGCCCACGAAGAGAAGCACGGTAAGATTTCTCTGTCTAGCTGACCTAACCTAACCTTACCTAACCTAACCTCAGAAGCACCGAAATAGCACGAAGAGAAGTAAACCATCATCATCTATAAGAGGCAAAAAGGCTTAAGGGACGACCAAAAGCCCCCGTAAGGCACTAAGTCAAGGTTGTGCCTTAATTTGGGTTGAACCGAGAAAGCTTGTTCGACGGTGAGTGGCGAATCCTCTACAAACCAGATGCTGACTCTATTGTGCAACTTGGAAGACAGCAGTCACGTACCAACCTGGCGCTTTTATACTAGTTGTGAGAATCCCGAAGGGAGAAGTAGGTAGGTAGGTAGGTAGGGGCAGGTAGGTGCGGAGGTGCATTCGGCGGGGAACATCCCGGTGCACCTGTGCAGGCATGCATCCATTCATCCATGACAATTCTTATCTACTAGGTAGTAGTCCTTGATAGTATGCTCCTCGGTCCGTCATCGGCCAGTTAGGGTTGAGTGTCAGTGAATCTGCACTACACTACGGGGTACCTCGCAGGTAGAAGCATCCGCTGCACAAGGAATCAATCCAATCGGGGGTTCAGCTACAGCGACCGAAGTCCGTCCTGGCCGGGGAAGGGGAGGGATCCCCGGTGATGGAGGGTTGCAGTCGCTACGTAGCTAGTGTGTGTTGGGGGGGGCTCAACTCAGTCTGACATCACTCCTACTGTACCTCGCTCGTCCATGCCGGTGAGAGAAGGGCTAAGGGGGGCAGTCCATGACTTCTTCCTCAACAAGTTACACTTTTTGGGGCATGCATGGTTTCTTGCTTCCGTCTTCAAGGTTGTCTTTGTTTGCCTCTCCTTCCTTCCCCTTCTTCCCAAAAAGAAATTCTCCTTGTCCAAAGCTAAAACTAAGTAAAAGATGTAAGTACTCACCTGCATGCATATGTACACACATGCTATCCACCGGGAAGCCACCGCAGCGGCAATATCAATCGCCACCACCACCACCACTTAAAAGGCACAGAGTGGTACTGCACCTGATCGCTCAATCCCCGCAGCAACCCACATCACCCGAACGGGCCCCGACACTCGGGCACCGCCAGCGATGCGCCGGCATACCTCAGGCACTTCCCCCCGTTAAGCAATCCGGTCCAGTACTAGTCCTACCCAGTAAAACCCCGACGCCACGAAGCTAGAAACAACTTCCCAGGGGCACCGTACGTACCTACCCCGGCCTACCTAATGCTGGTTAAGGTTAAAATTAAGCTTGTCTCGCTCCGGGGAATCCCAGTTTACTCTCCCTGCTTAGCCATCCAGACTACATACAACCCACCAATGGGGGTGGGGGGTTCTTTTGTTGTATCGTGGTAGAGTGGAGAGATGTCTAAACCAACCCCATAGAACATGGAATGAGGTCCCCCAAAAATCAAAGGCTGTTTAATTTTAATCACAGACAAAAATCGATTTCCTTTTCAATGTTAACTTCGGAACCCTCCCTCCGAGTGTGAGTGGAGTTGTCATTCTTTTCTGCATGGCCCAGGGAGGGGGTCAACCCGCACCCGGACTTAACGCTCACGCTCCCAGTCAAACCAACTTTCAACGTAGGGAACACCGCCCCAGTTTCGGTTGAGATGATTCGCCCCTCCCCTGCGCCAGCTGCGCCAGCGGCAGCGTCTGGGAATTGGAAAACAACCTTGTCGCTCTTCGAATCTGTGGACTTAACACCTACTGGTAGTATTTTCTGGAAGCCCTCCCACATCCAGGTTAGGTGCGTCGTGGCCCGGGACCACACTGCACTGGCATCTGTGGGAATAGAGCGGGGACAGGGCCGCCGCGGGGGGTTGGATGGGCATGGTCCACGGAGGTTGCACGACGACCGTCCGCATGCGTTTTAGATCCAGTTCATTGGTTGAAGTACGGTACGGTCATGGGAGTTGGGGACCTATGGAGTTGGGGGCATTCGGGATGGGATTTTCATTCGTGAGTGAGTCATCTCCGGGGCCCCGGGCAGGATCCGATTCTTGGGTCTGCGAGGCTTTCGTTTGTAAAGGGTCTCGAGTCGTTGCTTTGATGGGATTGGAGGTGTTGCTGCATGCTGCATGCCGGATGCTGGATGCTGGATTGGGGGTGGGGGGATGGGGGATGGAGGGGAGGGGTCAGGGGTCATCATTTCATTTGCTTGGTGGTTTACTGTCATGGTGAACTTGCCTGGTGAATGGAGTGGGAGAGGGGGGGGAGAGAGAGAGATCCAGTAAGTTGGGTTCAAGTTGTCTTTGGCTCTGTGAAGGGGGGCAGAGGGGGAAGGGAAGAATTGCATGCCTGATTTTGTACCGTACTGTGCCTCCTGCGTTGCTAATGCCACGGCGGCGAGTTGGCAGCTGTCGGTGGGGTTGTGAGCAAGATCCGGTTCGATTGCTGCCTAAGCTTCTACAGAGTGTGCAGTGGTGGGTGTGCAAGTGCAGACGAAGGCCAGAAGGGAAGAAGCCCAGAATCAGCTGGGATGGGATTCATGGAGAGCAAGCATGCACACTCTCTATTCACCCCTATTGTCTGTTGCGTGTTGCAGGCTCACAGCGGGGGTGACAAAGTCCATCATACCACAAAGCCTTACGTAGAGCCAACGATCAAGAAAAGTACCTGCGGTGTCTACTTTGTCGATATCATCGCCGCTCAGCGCGACATACAGTACACCAGCACAGGCGGATCTCTACATCCATCCCCAGACGACTAAGCTTATCTCCTCATCTAAGCCAGTCCTGTCGTGTAATGTTCCACCAAGCCGAATCTAATCGGTTCTACTCCCTAAGAAAACTGGGCACTTGAACTTGAGACGTCTTTTCTCTCCTCCTCTTTTATTGTCTCCTCGCTATGTGTTAAGCACATGCGGAACTGTAACTAAACAACTATTCTAACTAGGAAATCTCCTGTCGGTCATTGCCCCTCATTCTGTTCCCGCTCAGTGCCTTTTTTTTATGGTTTTCAAGTTTTGGAGAAAAGAAAGGAAAAGAAAAAGAAAAGAAACGAAAAAAAGGGTCAATCTGGAGAAGAGGACATAGCAATGAGAGCAAAGCATTAAGACCAAAGACACAAGAAAACATACCAGTACGACGCCAGTCTAATGAACCGCCCAAACCCAACGCCCTACCATGCCATCAGATTATAGGAAACGTGCAAACAAACATGGAACAGAGGATCATCAAGGCAGACCGGCCAGCTCAGTGGCCCGCGTGCCAGCCATCTGAACGGGCGATCGCGGGCCTAAGGTTCGGGATATAGATCACTGCGTGGCAAGCTGGACAGACCATGGGATAGTTCTCGTCGATTGGGCCTCCGAATCTCATTTCCAGCAGGGTTTGCGCAGCCACAATGTCTTCCTTCGTGTGTTCAATTGGTGGCCACGTGACGCGCTCGTCGTCACTGGTCCCGTCGGTCATTTCCCCCTCGGTGCCATCGGAGTCTTCGTCCATGGCATCAGAGTCGTAGGACAACGACCCTGCTCGGACCATTTGGACGAGATCCCAACCGTCGGTCTCCCTCTCAGCCTGCGAGCTTTGAGGAGTTGATTGATTCTGGGTTGGTGGGGAGGGCGGAGGAGTCAACTGCATTTGCGGGGCATTGACTGGTGTCCAGCCATTGCTGGCAGTAGACGGCGGGCGATTGTCTTCATCGCTCGACGAGGAGTACCCATTCGAACTATGTCAAGTTGGTTGGTATGACAAGTGAAAAGAAAATGCTAGACTAAGAGCAGGACACGCTTGACGTACCTTATATCATCGTCGTCATCGCCATCCGGGCTGGGACTGGGATAAGGCCGGGCGTGGGCAAGAGCGGCGCGACGGTGCGCTTTTGCTTCCTCCGCGGCCTCGCGAATGATATGCTGGTCAATCTCCCACGAACCATATCCGGGATGATCCGGCGGCAGACATTCCGCGGGGAAGTCGGGGCCGAAAATCGGCGTGAGAGCGTATCGCACATTCCAGCAGAACTTTTTGGCTATGGCTTTGGCGCATTCAAATGACATGTAGTATCCTGTCATCCCCAAGATTGATCAGCCGGTGGCCTTCCAACAGCAAAGCGCAAATCCCATACCTTGGGACTCAATCACGCCGCCCGTGAGCTTGTGGGAAACATCTCTGAGGCCACGGTTCTTGTTGAGCACTCTCGCCGGAAGGGTCTATCCCATCCCAGGGTGAGCATGTAGCAACATTAGGGTAGGAACGTGGGTGTATGTGGAGGTACCTTGCCCCAGGACTTGTGGCACTTGAAAATGCCCGTCGTGCGAACAAGCCCATTGGTATAGTCCCATATGATGAGCTTCATTTGGCCGTCAGTGGGGTCCTTGAACTCGTACCCATAGACTATCCACAGTCAGCATCTTGCAGATGTGTCTACACTAGGAGAGCTCAACTTACTATCGACTTCGTTCCGTCCCGTTCGCTCGTAGAAGTCGGGCTTCGTGGGCTTGTACGGAATACGGCGCGTACGGGACGTAAAGCGAATCTCATACTTCGCGTAGATCTCGGAGAGCTCCTCGTCGTAGTACTCGCAAGGCGGGTAGTTGATCGGGCCCTGCGGGGAGCCTGATTTCAACCCAGGAGCGTCGCTGATCATGCATTGGGCTGGGGCTGGCTTGGGGACGACGGCCTCCACGGTGCTGGTTGGATCGACTGGCGCCATACTGGAGGAAGGTGTCCGACTTGGCTCAGGCACAGGGTTCAGCAAAGCGCTTATGGGCAGCATGAAGGTGTTCAAGAGGGGTTTAGAGTGGAGAGTGGAGAGGATGGAGGAAGGAGATGGAGAGGATGGAGGTAGGAAAGATTGCAACATAGGGGAGTTTACTGAGGAATTTATGCCCAAGGATCCCAAAGAGCAGAAGAGAAGAAACGGCACTTCGTTCGAGCTGGCTTTCTTCCATTGACTTGATGCATTCGTTGAGGGACATGGCTGGAATAGACACCATTGGTCGTGCACACAGTTCACCGACCAGCCGTTTCAGCTAAAACCATGCACCAACCTTGAAGCGCAGTGGAAATTTCTTTCACTGATGGCTTGGATTGGGTGGCTGTTCTATTTCCAGTTCCATTGGCTGGCTGGGGTTTGGACAAGCAGAGAGACTCGACTTTGTGGTGACGCGGGAGCGGACATATTGGACGATCTTGTTTTTTTTCCTTCCAAACGGTCTCGAGCTGTCACGCCCGGGCAAGTCTGGTGCCCAGAGGCAATGGAAAGGGAGACGAGCATCGGTCGACACCAATGTCTCACCCGCGACTGGACCTTGTCATGACGGGCGCCGCCCGACAGCCAGCAAAAAACTTCAGGCCACTAATTCCATTATCAAGACCCTTGCCGTCTTGTCTTGTCTTTTCTGGCTGCATGTACCCTTTCAGCATCGGTTGTGGAGCTAGTAGCAAGCCAGGCCCCAAAAGCAAAGCTTCCCCTACGAAGGGTGACACCGGCCGGCAGCATTGGCTGGGTCAAGTATGACGATGCCGTAGTCACCTCTTCTTCTTCCTTCGATCGGCCAGTGTGTGACGAGGGTGGTTAAAACATGGCTAAACGCCTCTGAGCCGCAAGTGTCGAGCTCCGAGCTACGAAGTCATCTGGAAGGCGATAGAACACCCAGCTCTTGTGAGACACAATTGGTTTTTGCTCGTGTGCTGGCTGACATGTCTTTCCGGCAGAACATACGGGCTGCTCAGGGTGGGAGTCAATTCGCAGGTCACCCAGAACAGGGGAAAGTCAAAGAAGGGAGTTATTTGTGGTGGCTGAACTGGGCGAGGGAGGGAGAAAATCAGAGTAGTGACGTAAAGAAGGTATCTTTGGAGGTCTTTTTCAAAGAAGCAAGAGATGGAGGCTGATCATGCAGTGTGGGACGATGGAGAAGCAGAGAAAGACCACTGCAGGAGGAACAACAGCGGGCAGTGGTGCCGTAGACCCGATCAGGTTTAGCTCTTTGTTAATGTTGTCAAAATGGCCAGTCATTCTTCATTCCTACAATAGTTGCCAAATCTATATCATCAATTCAACAGTCTGAGCTCAACAATTCGAATGAGGGACTATGAATAGCATGATCATTCTCTTTCGGTTATGGTTTTTTTTTTTTTTTTTTTTTTTTTTTTTTTTTTTTTTTTCCTTTTTTTTTTTTTTTTTTTTTTTTTTTTTTCCCCTTTTTTTTTTTTTTTTTTTTTTTTTTTTTTTTTCTGTTACTTTTTTTTCCCTCTTCTTTTTGTTTTTTTCCTTTTCGTTTTCCCTCACATCTTCCTAGTTTTTAGGCTCTTTGTTCACCTTTACCTGTCTAGTATGAATTCTGTGTTCTCTTCTTCGCCTTCCATCTCTCTGCCATGCAAGGTTCTGTCAATGTTGTTAGAGTGGACAGTACAGTACAATTACTAGAGCGTTTCACTGCTCGACCAGAAGACATGCCAATGTCAATCGACCCGGGTCTCCCTTCCTTTCACCTCAGCGGCAAGCCGATAATAGCAGCAGCATCGGAAATCATCTCCGTGGCCCTCAAATTTGATCTTCGTTCATACAGTCCGTCCCTAGAAAGTAGTCTGCGTACTCCCCTCCACAGGCCTGGAGGAGTTCGTCTCACTCCTATTTAGAACTGGTTACACCCTAATTCTGCCGGCAAAAGCCACCACCGCCAAATCCTCAATACTTTGTGTAAGTTACCATAGATTTTGTTAATGACAGCTCTTAGGAAGGCGGTGCTGCAAAAAGTGGCGCTTTTTGGAACCAAACAGTTTGGTGGGGGGAGTACGCAGACGCAGACTACTTTCCTCCCACTGTAGCATAGACTACTTTCCTCTTGACTAGTTATGGTATGTTACGTCAGCTTTCTCAAACTTCCTCCTCCATCCTTCCAGTGCGTGCATTGACAGCTGGCTCAGGTAGAAGCAAACGACGAATGTCCCATTAGCAATTTCTCTCTTTTGCTCCAATCCTCCTTCTTCTTCTTTCTGTCGATACTCGATTTTCTAGCCTTCAGAATCTCGACCAGTTCTTTTCACCGATGAGGAATACTCAGAAAGGTCAACATGACTCAGCATGAGCATGCTCTTGATTCTGGAGTATACCACTCCGTATACTTACTACAGGTGTATGTCCCGGCGGAGGACCCGCTCATCCGCCCTGCGGAACTCCCCCACATCGATCGGAGGTGATCACATAAACACAAATCTGCGCCCTCCCATTCCATTGGTACATCCAACCGCCAGCAGGTTCCTCGAAGCTTATTTCAACTATGATTACTATTCCAGACCGAGGTTAGTATATATGGCTAAGCGATTATTCTCACAAAAGCTGACCTTGGCAATCCAACTACCCAAAACAGGACAAAATGGGTGGGTATCACTTCAAACGAGATACGAGAGCCATTTGTCGTTATAAGGGGCGATGCCTGCGACGATGTATATCTTTGCGTGCATCTCCACCCGAGTCCCACGTCGTCAAACTCGCCGTGCCTCATTCCCTGTGAGAGATCTTGCCTCCCTACAAACGGGCGTAGGCCCTCCATCTAGGCTAAAGCTGACTCGACCGTCCTACCCACCGTCTGCCCAGTATCGAAGGATAGCACACAATGATCAAACCCAAAATCCTTGCAACTCTGCAGGGTTCTGCTCTCCAGAAGCCAGAGTTTGAACAGATACCCTGGGAAGATCCACGCGAGAGACGAAACCCCCACAACTGGCCGATCTGGAAGAAACTGTTCCACACCGTTGTGCCTTGCATTCTGGCTTTCGTGATGTAGGTTTGCAAGTCACTTGTTCTTTTTCAAAGGCATAAGCGAAAGGGAAACAGAACTGACTCTATGGGCAAACAGCACGTTCGGAACATCGGTCAATGAAGCCGCGCTCGATCTTATAGCAATAAAATTCAACGTATCTCGAACCGTATCCATGCTCACACTCACACTATACACACTTGGTCTGGCATTCGGGCCTCTATTCATCGCACCACTATCAGAGACTATCGGCCGCCGTCCGGTCTATGTCTTCACCTCGTCCTGTTTGTTGGCATTCAGTGCTGGTGCCGGGGCGGCGAACAACCTAGCCACCCTACTTGTATGCCGTGGCCTGGCTGGGGCTCTGGGGTCTGCTGGCGTTGCGATCGGTGCCGGCACGCTGGCCGATATCTGGGATCTGGAAAAGGAGGGAGGTCCTGCATCCTTGCTCTTCATCCTGGGCCCTTTCCTGGGCCCCACGATGGGCCCGCTCGCCGGGGCCTATGTTCTCAAAGATCATGATTATGACTGGAGATGGACGCAATGGGTCATGGCGATTCTCTGCGCGGCGATCTGGCTCGGCGCGGTACTGATGCAGGAAACCATGAAGGAGAGAATCTTGATCAAGGTCAATAAGAACAGCAACCACTCTGAAAAAGAGGAAGAGTCGCAACAGCAACCGGAACTTATGAAGCCTTCCCTGCAGCAGCTCATCACAACAGGGCTTGGAAGGCCGGTGAAGCTTTTATTCACGGAGGTCATCGTGTTCTCATTGACCTTATATACGGCGTTCGCCTACGCCATGATCTTCAGCTATTTCGCCAGCTCTTCCTACGTCTTGACGGTGTATTATGGATTCAACTGGCGGCAGATTGGACTTAGCTTCATCAGCGTGATCGTCGGATATATTCTTGCAGCGTTCATGTTCGGAGTCTTCGACAAGACTCTGTATGTTAGGGCACGCGTGGCTGGCGGAGGCGTTGCCGCTCCCGAGCATCGCCTGTACTCGGCCATGGCAGGCAGCGTACTCTTACCAGTGGGACTATTTTGGTAAGCCTCGAAAACTGTCCAGTCTTGACTGTATCATCCCCTTGGTTCATTTTCGCTAACTGCATTCCGAATGTGCCTAGGTACTCATGGGAAGCCCACGCCGGCGGCCACTGGGCTGCCCTTGTCTGTGCAGGGATCCCCTTTGGAGTGGGGGCATTTTCTCTTTTCGTATGTCTCTTCCCAGCGGTGGCTCAGAACGTCCTATCAGCCCGCACACCCGAACTTAGTGTAGAATGGCCCAACTAACCTAAGCTTCTTCTCTTCAGCTGTCAACCATCACCTATCTGGTTGATGTCTATCAAGCCGGAGCTGCAGCATCGGGTAAGTTTCTCTCCTCTTGCTTTTGGCTCTACAGCCTTGTACTCATCTGAATATCACTTCTAGCATTGGCCGCCAATGGCGTTATTCGATATATTCTGGGAGCGACGTTCCCCCTGTTTACCGTGCAGATGTACGAGAAGCTTGGCGTGCACTGGGCGGGCAGTCTCTTCGCCTTCCTGTCGCTATTTCTGCTCCCGATCCCTTGGGCGCTCTTCAAGTACGGGGCTTCTTTGCGCGGGGGCAAGAAATACTCGGGGTAGTATTGAATAGAGTTCTTGACATCGTATATGGTTGGACCTCATCTTTTCAGGTTGTTATACATGGATGGACGGGATTCGGAGTTTTTGTAGAGCTTGGTTGATTTTTCCTGGATCTCAAGGGAGGTAGGTAGTCAACTCCTGCAGTAGAATTGAGGATAGACTCAATTAGAGACTATATACGGGAGTGTTCTTTGACGAATCAACCCGGCAATCCTGACCCGACCAAAGGAACCTTAGATTTGGTACAGTACACAGCATATACACGGATATTGGGGTGGTGAATTACTTGTTCTGAGCCCATGCGTGTAGGCCGTTCGACTCTCCTAGCATATTTTTTTTCAAGACGGAACTTCCCTTCTAGATGCTCTATCTACCGGATCTCGGATCCCAGAACCATTGCCAGACAGGAAAAAGATTGTTGGTCGTGGTTGTTGGAAGATATTTTTATCCTATCCTATTATCCACCGGTGCTCTGTTGCTGCCTGAGGCTTCCAATGGCGAGACTTGCCGACCGAGGCTGCCCTCCAAGACAACTTGAAAGTCAGCGGCTTACTGACACTCCATCTATCGCTTCAAATCGTCCTCCACTGACTACCGCTCTGAACAAGGGGTCTGTGCATATATAACTCACTATCGCAGTCAAAATGACCAGATAGTCTTTCACTTTACTGTTATTTTAGCGCGCGCGACCACACTGCGGCCGGTTTCGGCCGATTTCCTAAGGTCATCTACGTCCTCCTGCGACGTACACAAGCCGATGGAGAACCTCGACCTTAGTGTCGCCCCGGCCGATCTGGTACTGAACTGGTCAGAAGTGCTTGAGCTGGAATCATCACTACCGCTTAACCTCTTTGAATGTCCAGTCAACGATGTCAACCAGAACACGCTCCATTCAGGCTGCACCACAGAGCCTTGTGACTCATGTAGACAGATGTTGCTAGACTGTTCTGTGATAGAGCCGGACCTGCTGTCAAACGGCAGCAGTTATACAGATTGCATCATCCCAGAACCGGAGAGCAGTCATATCTATTCCCATTCTCAAGAGTGGAGCAATGCTCCCAAAGAAGCTCCAAGTACTTCTGAGCCTCGGGCGGGCGAGGGAGCTGCTATCATGAGTGATCACGGCCACAGACCGCGCAGGCGCAGCGACTACAACAAATTCCCGCGGGAGACAATCCGTCTACTGAAGGAATGGCTGAGCCAACACCAGGACCACCCTTATCCTTCCAAGGAAGAAAGAAGAGAGTTACTGCTGCAGACAGGACTAACGCCGACGCAGCTACGTAATTGGCTCGCTAACACCAGGCGCCGTGAGAAGGAGAAGGCCCATTCGGCTCCTGCACCCATCCCAGCAGGCACATCGTCAATGACCCCCCTTGAACGCTGGCAAAACTCGCCTCCAGAGGACGAGTCGGCCGCGTTCAGTGACATTGCTCGGGCTCTTTCAAATCGCCCTTCCACGCCTCACCCTCAACTATCCTTCACCTCGCCTGATCCCAGTTCGGCATCTTCAGTCGATTGGGCTAGCCATACCTCTCACGTCGAGCATTTCGGCGTATTCCCGGCGTCGTCGGAAAGCAGCCTGGACACCAGTGCATCGTCCACCTCGAGCCTGTCGAACACGTCTGCGCATTCTTATCATTCCGTCTCGCGCTCTGGATTTCAAGGTCACAACCCCCGTCGTCGCCGACATCATCGACGAAGTAAACTTCACATTCCTGCCAATACTATCGCCTCGCGTCGGGCGCGAGGCTCTCGGCGGTTCCAGTGTACATTCTGCACGGATACGTTCTCGACCAAGTACGACTGGCAACGGCACGAGAAATCAATGCACATTCCTCTCGATGAGTGGAGGTGTGCGCCATCTGGGGGCATTGTCCTCTTGGATGGCGGTCGTGTCTGCGCCTTCTGCTTACACCCTAATCCCGACCCGGAGCATTTCGACATTCACAACTACCTCGTTTGTCAGGAGAAGAGCCCGCTCGAAAGGACATTCTACCGCAAGGATCATCTCCACCAGCACCTGCGCAGCGTCCACGGCGTCAAGTTTGCCGCTGCATCCATGAGCGGGTGGAAGAGCAGCGTCACCGAGATCCAATCGCGCTGCGGGTTCTGCGACGCTCGATTCCACAGCTGGACAGCCCGCGCGGATCATCTGGCGGCGCACTACAAGCAAGGGGTCGAGATGCGTGAATGGCACGGCGATTGGGGCTTCGCACCGGAAGTGCTACGTCTCGTCGAAAACGCCATGCCGCCGTACCTGATCGGCCAGGAGCAGCTGGCGCCGAATCCCTTCAGCGCCTCGGCCATCACGGTGCTCAAGCCAAGCGGGGAGACCGACCAACCGACGCAGCTTCCGGAGCAGGAGAACCTCAACTTCTGGCCCGTGATACAACGAGCGCTCACGGAGTATATCAAGCGTCAACTCGAGACCGGGGTGGTGCCCACGGATAAGATGTTGCAGGACCATGCGCGCATGATCGTGTATGGCTGCGACGATGGGTGGAATCAGACGTGCGCCGACAATCCGGTGTGGCTGAGTCATTTGAAGCGGGATGCGGGACTGGATGCTTTCCAGTCGCTGGGCGACGATACGCAGGTACCGTTGGCTGCTACTGGAAGTGGGCAATGGGCGTTGTTCGAGTTCGAGCCGCCGCAGCCAGCGTACCAAAATGCGTACCAGTAATGGGTTCCTGGGCATTATTCAAACGTGCTAAGATACCCTCATTACCCGGATTTGTATGAGCCTAGGAATGTGGACTATTTGTCTCTGAAGCTACATCCGAGAGTCTATCTTATAAACTTTTCAACATTCGGCATAGATGCTCGAAAGAGTGCTGGATGTAGGGCGTGCGGGTATAGAGGTGACCCACCCACCCCACTTGGACCCAGTAGTATACTCAACAGTCAAAGACGATGTTATCTTCGATGTTATCTTCACAAGAGACATAGCAATGGCACTATCTCGGACCTATCCCATGCACTAACTACAAATACACACCAAACCCTCCACAACTCAAATCACGTCAGGCAATCACCCAGTAGAAACTTTAAGTCTCCTCATGTCTCGCAAAACAGCAACCAACCTCGGTGGCTGAATCAAGAACCCAGCCCAGACCCAACCAACCCAAACACATCCACGATACGACTCGGTCTTGACTTAGCGGTCAATGCAAGTCCAAGTCAAGTCCTGAAACACACCCTCTACAGTATCAGTCTCGACGCCTCATCATTCAGGAATGGCTCTAGACCGCTCTTCTGAAACCGACGCGAGCCGACCCTTCCAGCAAGATCACGCTGTACAGTATGTGCCATCGCCCCCAAGTCAATCCTCCCTAATTCCAGCGAATGTGTTACCGTAAGACAAACACCTCCAATCGAGAGTCGATACTGTCACTCACTCACTCACCTACCCACCTATCCCCCTATCCACCTACCTACCCACCATCCAGTCTGACATCCACCACCTAAACAGCAGCGACAGAAGCAGCAAACCCTCGAGAAACAGCCACCCAATTTGTCTTGACAAGAATCCTGGCCGACACAGCTCCGCCTAGCTGGATCTCAGGGATGCAGTTTCCCCGTCTCGTTCCAGTCCACTCCCAATCCCTATGTATTCCGTACTGTACGGTACAGTCCAGCATCCCACCCCACCCCATCCCACCGCGGACCCATCCTCGAACATCCGAGCACACATTTCCGGTCCCGTCACGTCACGTCAGGGCCGGGGCCGGGGCCGGGGAAGGCAGGCGGGATCCCCGCCGGGCGTCGGTTGTAACTGGTCTGAGGGCAGCACCAGCACCATTACAGCACCAGCACCCAGCACCCAGCACAGCACGGATCATCCATCCCAGCATATCCCAGCGATCCCAGCAGTCCCAGCAGTCCCAGCAATTCCAGTGGGGACTGGGGAACGGGGAACGGGGACCGGGGAACACCCGGCTATCACTGTTACGTGGGATCCGCGTGAGCGGGCGGGATGGCTGTGCAAGGAGAGTGAAAGGAGGGGAGTCGAGTCCGTATTCTAACGATGTCATGGTAGCACGGATGCCCTGCTGTGTCGCCGGAGTCGAATCCCTCGACGGATTCGACCCGGGACTTTACCAGTACATACAGCACCTACTGACAGTCAAAAACCAGGCTAGATCGGTCGAAGGGTAAGGGTAAGGGTAAGTGCATAACGTGTTTGTGTGTGTGGAGCTAAAACATGAAACCTAAGGTGGAAAATATGAACAAACGCAACGCCAGACCGGTTATGCCCCACCAGCTGCAAAAGCATAGAAAGTTCCCCCGTGACCCCCCAAAGCAGAAAGAAAAACCCAAAGCCCCCGTTGTCATTCAGAAATAAAAAGGTTCACACAAGCGTGAAACCGGGTAACGGCAGATTTAGTTAAAGGTCCAGCCACCATTGAGACGCAGGCGTTGACGCTCGGCCAAATCGCGGCGGATCTCATCTTGCGTGAGCCCGTCGGGTCCAGACCAGTGGGCACTGCTGGTGCGCTCGCGGAATTTCTTGATCTTCTTGTCCCCCTTGAACGTCTCCTCCAGGGAGAATGGGGCAATAGGGCCAAAGATAGAGTCCGCCTCCATGCCCTCCTGTTGGCGCAGCAGCGACTCCAGCTCTTTCGGCTGGGCCCACTTGGGTACAGGGAGCATCTCGGCCTCCGAGTCCTCGTCTTCGCTGTCCGTGGCTATCTCTGGCAGGTTGATGTTCTCGCCGTTGGGGTAGCTGGGCGACTCCTTGACCTGGTGCTTTTGCGATGAGCTGGCAGCGGGCGTCCGATGCGCAGCGGGCGGTGCCATCGGCGGCTCGGCGAATGGGATTTTGCCACTGGCGTATTTGGACATGTCCATAGGGTGCGCAGGTCTTTGCGTTTGTCCGGTCTTCAGGATTGAGGTTGGTGGCTGGCTGTAGAACGAAGGCTTCTTGGGCTCCTACAAAGAGGTTAGTAATGAAATCATGTAGCATCGAACAACCCTGAAATACCTTGCGAATGTTGGACTGGCGGATGGGCGGAGCCATCGTAGGGCGCATCGAGGACATGCGATTCTGTTCGTCTTCTGTCCTTCTGCGCTTGGACTCGCCTGCCGGTTGCATCGTGCCCGTCTTCAACGCCGTAGGCCGCTGATTAGCCTCCTCATCCAGGCCTCTCTTGGGAGGCTTGGCCGGGTTAGGTTGAGGGTGGTTGGCGGAGCGATGGAAAGGCTGAATGGATCCGAGACGAGAGGCTGGTCTCATGGTCCCTAGCTCACTCCGCTGAGCGGCTTGGGACGCCGGTCTCTCCGGAGGATGGTTTTCGGGCTGTTGACTGCCTTGCCTCTCCAGCCTCCGTTGGCTCTCAAGTCTCCGCTTCTCAATTGCCTGCAGTTGAGCAGCTTTCTTAGGGTCTTCAGCAACAAGTCGCTCGCGGCGTTCGGCCTCTGCGCGACTGCGCAGGTCCTGGCGACGAGCTTCTTCTTGCTGGGCCGCTCGTTTGCGTTCGAGTTCACGACGCTGCTCCTCCCGACGCCTGGCCTCGCGTTCCTCCTGTTCACGCTTTCTCTCGCTTGCAAGTTGAGCCTTGCGCTGCGACTGGGTAGACATCGAACTCTTGAAGCTGCTATTGGACGAAGCAGTGTGTAGTGAGGAGTTGCTCGCCTTCTTTTTCAGCGTAGGTTGCTTCACCGCGGAACCCGGTGTAGGAGCGGGGACACTCGACTCCCGCATGCCAGAAGACATGGTTGAAGATCCCAGCGTTATGGGCCGAGAAAGGGCACTGCCCACACGAATCGAGACAGGCTGAGGTCTGGGCTTCTGAAGTGTTTCGCGATTGGGTTTGACAGGACGACCCTTTGCTTGCTGTTGCTGCGGGATAGAGGATGGGGCGGCGGGCTTGGATTCAGCCTCCGTAGCATAATCTGTTTCCTTGGATGATTTTTGCAGTTTGGGCAATCTCTGGGATGTCGGTGCAGTAGGCGCTTCGGAAGTTGCCCGAGACTCGTCTGCAGAATACTTCTCCTGTGCAGACCGGAGTTGCATGGACCTCTTTTTCTCATGTTGCCGGTTTTTCTCAGCCAATTCCTCCTGTAATTGGCGCTCCTCCTGTCGTTGGCGTTCTTCGTGTCGTTGACGTTCCTCCTGTCGTTGGCGTTCCTCTTGTCGCTGACGTTCCTCTTGTCGTTGACGTTCCTCTTGTCGTTGACGTTCCTCTTGTCGTTGACGTTCCTCTTGTCGTTCGCGTTCCTCGAGCTCCATCTGCCTACGCTTCTCTTCTCTCTCGGTAGAGCTGCGGGTTCTACGCCCTTCCTGGCGTGGGGGGCTGAGAAGCTGGGCAGACTGTGGTCGGTGCGACTTATCCATCAACTCGCTAATGGGTCGACCACTCGGTCGCAACCTTGGTTGTTCTGGTGAGGACGCTTCTTTTCGAGCCGCAGCCGCTACACCTCCAGAATTCGTGAACAAGCCCTTCGCGGATTGCACGATCGATTGGAGTCTTGACTTTGACGCACTCAAGGGCCCATCCCACCGTTCTGGCGCAGGAGAGCCAACAGGTGTCGTCGACAATTGGGAGTCTATATGAGCAGATGCGCTCTTTTGATGACCAGGACGTTGTGGAGAGGAGTAGAGAGGCGTTGTCGACTTTCCGCGACCCACGTCCGAAGCGCGCTTTGCGGTGGTCGTTGTTGATCCCATTGCACCTCTCGCATTGTCTAGAGCAGAAGAACGGTCGTCCTCAGCAGCCCGCAGAATTCTAGCCCCCGACAATTTGGCGTCTTTGCTTTCGGTTCGGTGGTGTGCCTGTGTGTTCGACCGATAGGGCGAGTTCATTGGTTTGATCCAGTCGTCATCAATTTGCATAGGCTCCGTAGTTGGCGCATCACGGGGCTTCTGGTTGGGAGCCTCTGATCTCGTCTCGGGCTTAGAGATGGGCAATTCGGGATAAGTGACCTGCGTGGTCGATAAACGCGAGACTGCCGCGATGGACTTGGTTGGTCGCGATGGCTGTAGTTTACCCAGCATGCTGATCTTCTCATGCAGCCTTTGAGTTGAGGATTTGACATGGTCCTTGCTGGCTTTCGTATCAACATCCGATTCTCCGTCATCGGTCAAATCCTTGCTGTCGTCAATATCCATCTTGTCGTCACGGGTGGTATCGTCCTCCATGCCAGGCTGCGTCGTTCTGTGTCCTCCGGTCTGCCTTCCAAGATAGCTCCCTGCGTTGCTGAGTTTAGAGATCTCCAGATGGCTCGTGCGAGACAGTCTTGAACCACCCAGACTCTTCTTGGTCAATGGCTCGCGTGCAGGAAGTGATGCAAATGAAAGGCTACTCTTGCGGATAGGGTGGCGTGCCGGAGGCGAAACGTCCGAGGGAGAGCCGACATCGTCAATATCGAGAGCCATTTCATCCTTGTCATCCTTCCCTTCCCGTACAGGCTCGGCGGCAGGTGCGGCGGGAGACTTGGCAGGTGAGCTCAGCTCCACGGCTTTGGCAGGCTCTTCCTCTGCCTCAGGTTCTGGCACCGGCTGGTGGCTGAGCTCTGGCACTGTCTCGCGCTCGCTGTGTTTCTGTTGCTCTTGCTCGTCCTGTTGCACGGGCTTGTTCTCAGGCTCTGGCGCTTGTAGCGACTCGGTTTTCTGTTCAAGCTCAGCTTGGAGCTCCTCGGGCTCTTGACGATCTTCAGGCTCCACGGGCTCCTCCCGTTCCTGCCGTTCGTCAAGTTCCTCACTTTCCTCACGCTGGACCTCGCGCTGAATTTCAGGCTTAACCTTGGTTTCGGCCTGAACTTCAGTCTCAGGCTCGGGCTCATCTTCAGGCTCTTTCGCGGTTTCCGTTTCGGGTTCCTCTTCAAGCTCGGGTGCTGGCGTGATAGTGGACTCTTGTTCCTGTGGCTCTGTTTGAGGCTGCGGCTGAGAAGGCGCGTTTCGGTTCGGTGTTGGTTCGACCTGCTCGGGTTGAACTGTTTCGCCTCGGTAGCGTACATTCTCTTGGGCGGAGTGGAAGGAATTTGCTGTCATGCGGCGTTCGTCCGGTAGTTGGATATTTTCTTCGGTAATACTGGGCTCGGTATCCGTCGGTTGCGTCGATGGCTGAGATTCAGGCTGTACTTGTGTCAAGACAACATCGTCGTCCTCATCTTCCTCCATTTCTTCTTCATCGGGCATGCCATGATAGCCGGAGTCGGTATTGTACTCCGGGAAGGAATTGAGGTTCTTGCTCAAGTCGGGATATGCGGGTTCAGCTGCGTCATTTATGGTGGTATCTTTAGGTTCCGCCACTGGGGTTGGTGCTGCAGGGGGCGCCGCGGGTGCCTTGGCGGGCGAGCGTTGTACTGCCGGGCTTGCTGGGTGTTTGCTGTCATGCTTGCTTTCGAGTTTGTTCTCTGTTTTGCTGTTGTGTGCAGAGGAGAAGATCTCGCTCAAGGGCTGTAGGCAGTAAGCAATGAGTCCGCCGATGCTTCAATGGAGGAGAGAACGGGTCGACGTACCACACGAGGCTCGGTCGCATCGCGCTTTCGCGCAGTCCGCGGGGTTTTGCCGCGCAATTTCCCTGGGGTCTTGAACGCATCGGTGAAGTTACTGGGCGAGAGTCAGCATCGGAGGATGGGATCACGGCTATGCGGGCGCAACGGACAATTGGTTGGTCGAGAAGATTTCGGCCATATGCTCATTCAACCAATCCATCTCGTGGCGCACAGGATATTCGACCTCTTCCATTTCCTGGTCCACGAGCTGCATACAGTTTTCCTTTTCGGACGAGATCCACGCTGCAGAGCCAACGGGCTTCTGCGCCCTCGCGCCGGTCGCAGCCATGGCGATGTAAACAAACGCGGAATGGGGATCGGAGTCGTCAAGAAGACATTAAAATTGATTGTAAAAGGTCGAGGGCAAGCGGGCCCAGTCTAGATGTTAGTGACAGTCGAGAAACGGAGCATAGGACCGTGGTGGGTCGGCGAAGGGTTGATGGTCGGCCGGTGGGCTTCAGGCCTGTCGTCCGGAGTTTGAAGCATCAAAACATCGGCCAACGCGTGAGTCCCGCTCCGGCACGTGACTTCTGCTTCGTTTAGTGCCTGGCGCTTCAGGCATACACTTATGAGTATAAGCCACCAAATAGCTCTATGTATAACTCAGCATAGCTTACCAACATCATTCTTATTTGTGCTGGCGATGGTAGCTAACTATTAAGATACAAAAAATCTTCTCCACTACAAGCTTACAGCATGTCTTGGAGCAAGTCTTGTTGCTGCCTGCCTACATTCTATGCACTTGTACATACGAAAGTGGGATTGCCACGCGACACCAACTGCTCCGTACATGGGATAACTACGTCCTCGTACTGAGTACTGTAGGATAAACTTTCGTGACATCATTCATGGCCAGATCTAGATTGAGTGCGGATGATGTGCTTTTCGATACAGGACGCCTCCAGTAAATGGTTGGCAATTTATGATCGGATGCTGGTCCCTCCACAGCTCAGCACCTACCGCTGCGTCACTTCCAGCAACATCTCAAGCGTGTATAGGCTGCCAGATTGTGCTGGATTCCGGTTTCGTGTCGGTCACCAATGGAATCATTTACAAAAGCGCTGGATGGTTCTCAATTGGAAGCAATTGTGAGTGGATGCTGACTGATGGATGTGTGACCGGCGAGTGACATCATCCCAGCCAGGCTGAAGTAAACACAGCCGAACAATGCGTTTGTGGACCATGAGGTGACTGAGGAGCATTGTATTGTAGAGAAGATAGTAATTATGGTGGAGGTTGAATCGGTGAAGAACCGAGAGTGTCAATCCTCCCTCAAGGTTCTGACGGAATGTTCAGCTGGCAGATAGTAAGGACAAGTCTGGATCTTCGACCTGCAGTAGATGCATCTCAATGCACGAACTGCTGCTCGCTGGGTGGGTTGGTGGATGCTGGATGAATGAGCTCTCGAGGGATCTTCTACTGGCACTGGCACTGGCACTGGCACTGGCACTGGCACTGGCACTGGCACTGGCACTGGCACTGGCACTGAGTCCCTTGCATAGGCGCACACACTGTCTTTCAAACAGTCAATTCATTATCAGAGATATAATTAGTTTGGCCGTGCAAGTTAATCCGAAACACCGGCCCAGGCCATCACATGTTCGTTTGGTTCTGTTCTGTTCGTATCGGCAGTAAAACCTAAGGCACACGACCAAATCAAATCCGCCCGCCGCCTCGACCCCATTATTGCATCACCTTCCACCTTCTCTCGCCCTCGTCCTTTTTCTTCATCTTCTCCCCCAACCTCCGCGACCACTCGAGCTCTTCTTGTTCTAATCTCTCTGGTCATCTTTCTCTCTGGTTTCAACTGCAGCCTCGTCTGCCCATCCATTCCAACCACCGCAGCTACCTTCAGCTCGAACTTCCCTCTATTTTCCCCTGACAATCCACCCTTTTCCTTATCTTTCCAGCTTTCCGAGCGCACACATCTTTCGTCATGGCTGCTGACGTGAGTTATCCCAACGTGAACGGCCATGGTAAGGTATGTATTCGAGTCTTCTGGTCAGTCGCATTGGGGGAAGAGCGTTCTCAAGCTAATGTTTCGTCTGCTCTTCAGTCCCACACGACTCGCTTCTCACCGAGAGTTCGAAATCGAGTTACACAAGCTAACCACTGATCCCTCCGTCTAGGTACAATTACCAATGGTGAGCGCCAACTTCTAATTCTGGCCTCTTCCCTGAAGGAAGAAGGCTTTGTTGCCATACCTCAATTGCAATCGAACTGACAGCAAGTCTTATAGGACCTCTTGCCGATAACATCAAATCCGAGGCTTCCCGCACCACTCAAGAGCTGCGCGAACTGCGCAACGCAGCAGTGACTCCCTCCACCACCGCCGCGACCGGCCAGCCCCTAACTTGTATGTACCACTCACACTTGTGCCACGCCACTCGTCGCTAATTCCACAAAGACTATCACTCCCTGCTGTACAGCCTTCTGAGCGTGAGTGACTGCGAATCCATCCCACGCAAACCGGCCCTAACAGATATGCAATACTAGTGGGAACAACCCCGAGCCACCGCCGTCTCTTTCATCAGCGTTGTTGCTTTCATCTTTGCCGCCCGTTACCTTCCGCTCCTCCGATGGCTCTTCAAATTTGTCTATGTGGTTCTGGGCTGTGGGTGGAACCTGCACAACAACTATTTAGGCCGGTGACTAACACATTGAATAGTTACCGCGCTCGCCGAGCTCGGTGGTCAACTCGCTCTCAAGCAGAGCGTGGTCGGATCTTTCCGCCCTCGCAAATACTACACTGTTCCCAAGGAGACGGTTGAAGCCGTGTTGGAGGATCTGGAGCAGCTCGTCGATTTCGTCTTGATCGAGTTCCAGCGCGTTCTGTTCGCCGAGAACCTTGTTCACACCATTGCTGTATGTCAATGCTACACCTGTGACACATGGGCACCGCTAATCGGCCACTAGGCTTTCCTCGCCGCTTTCTCCGCCTACTGGTTGATCAAGTTCCTTCCCTTCTGGGGTCTCTCCCTCATCACCGTCACCATCGCTTACCTGGGTCCTTTGGTCTACATCAACAACCGCGAGGTCATCGATGCTCAGATCGCGCACCTCCAGGAGCTGGTCAACAGCCAGGCCCACCAGCTGAAGGACATCGCCGAGGAGCGCACCGCCCACGCGACGGGTATCGTCAAGCAGTACGTCGAGGACTACAGCGCGAAGGCCCAGGGCTTCGTGCACCGCCGCTCTACTTCGCGCTCTGTGACCCCCGAGGTGACCAAGGTCGCCAGCAGCCCCGTCATCAAGAAGGAACCCGAGGCTGAGCCCGAGACCAAGATCCCCGACTTCCCTGAAGCCCCGAAGGCTGAGCCCGTGGCCCCCGCCGCTGCCGTCGCTCCCTTGGTCGAATCCATTGAGCAGCCTGCCGTCGAGGCTGAGGAGAAGGAGCCTCTTCTGGCTTAGAGGGATGATCGTGGGTGCGGATCGTTAGCTGCCTCCGAGGAGGGTGGTAGTTGGTAATGACTAAAGGGTATTGAGGGGTCGACTGTGATGGCATGCACAGCCGACTCAGGCTGGGTAGTATGTACGCGGCGGCGGTGTGTGTACGATGGCAAAACGAGACTCCATTAGCCGCGGTGTCTGACGGAGACGTTTTTCCCTTGTACTTTTTCTTCTCCTGTTTCGTTTCATTTTCTCTTGCTCGCAGGCCGACTGTGGAGTATATCTTCTGTTTGGGTTCATACTTATATTTTACGCTTCGTATGCCAATTTCTTATCTTCTGGGAATTCAGAGTGGCGTAGGGCAGTAGTCATCCTCGTAACTGTAGTGCAGCATCTGTTATGAAGGACGCCTATGTAGAAAGCAGAGACAACCAGACCACGACCCAGGTGAACTCAACCATCCACGCGACGAAAATCTCCATACAAAAAAAAAAAAAAACAGACCGGTGTCGCGGAGAATCCCTCCCCCGACCTGCTGTGCAGGTGACAGTGCATCAGGTACGCTGATCGAGGGCGCTGTAACACCCGTCGGCATATTCCCGTCCAAGAACTGATGAGCGGGGAGGTGATGCACCAAACGATGTTACTGTACCGCGTAAGCAGCAGACAAGGACAGTGAAAGGGGTGCTAGAATGATCCCTCAGCGAGCGGCAAACCGCTCTGCCAACCCCAACAAAAACAAAAAGAAGATGTGCATCATCCGTGAATCGAACACGGGCCTCATCGATGGCAACGATGAATTCTACCACTAGACCAATGATGCTAGTTGATGTCATCTGACACCAATCTTCACAATATATACGTAGCCCTAACCACTACGCGGGATTCATGTTGGTCGATTGCGTGTCGTTTTCTGGGTATCATGTCTTTGATTGCGGTGCGGTTGGGGGTTTGAGGATTTCGGTTTCTTGATGTCTTATGTATATTCTTGCAGCTGGGTGTATCTGGTTATGTGCTGGAATGGGGGTTGCTTGGGCTTGGGTGATGAGAGTCATGTCGGGGAGTGCGGATATATAATGTACGTACATTTCGGGAAACTATGGACGAGAGTTGCGTCAATAAAAGGCTAGGTTAATACTGCCTGTTCGGTGCCCATCTCAATATGATGCCCAACAGTGACCGTATGGACGGAGGATGATTTATCCTCAATTACCATCATTATTATCCACACCCAAAGCACGAGGTCTAAAGTCTACAATACATGCTCAAGCACATACGAGCATGACTACCTGCCTTCCACCACCGGAAACGAGATACAGATCTATCCACTCATATAACGCTGTAAGTCTATATTGTACATACAGAATGAAGTCCAACCACGTGGATATATCGACACCCCGCACACAAATCTCCCCGGCTGGCTAGAGAAAGAAGGGGACTAGACGGCCCCTCACTCGGCCTCCGGCTCAACATCACTGACGCCATCGAAGCCCTCGTCCATGGCATCGGGGTTCAGGTTCGCCGCATCCGGCGCAGCGCCGTCGCGGTGCTTGTCATTATCGTGGGACACGGTGCGCCAGCCTTGCGGGGCGGATGGGTCTTTCAGGTATTCGGACATGGGGAACTAGAAGTAACGTGTTAGATGGGGGGGGTTAACTGATGACGCGGGCTAAGGAAGCTGGCGGAGAGGTGGCAACATACGTAGTGGTCGTTCTTCTTCATGGTCACCACCCAGGGGACGTTGTCGAAGGTCACCGCCCGGAGACGGAAGTATGTGTTGTCGGGGATCTTGCGGACCTCTTCGACGAAGCGGTCCAGGTTCGGGGTGGGGGTGCCGTTGACGGCGGTGATGAAGTTCGTGGGCGAGAGGCCGTATTGGTAGGAGGGGGAACCGCGGCTCTAATTTGCAGGTGGATTGTTAGTGATGAGTTGGGATTTGACAGTGAAAGGAGGGGGAACAACGTACCCTAGCGCTGACGTACACCTCGCTGTGGAGTTTGGAGATCTGCTGGCGGACGGCGTGATGGGGCTTCTGGAGGACAGCGCCGCAGAAGACCACGGCGCGGTCGGTTTCCAGATCCTCCGTCGGCACCGTGGGGACCTGGATGCGCATCTCCTGACCGTTGCGCACGATGAGCGCCTCCAGAGATTCCTTCTCGTACATGATGTCGAGCTCCGAGACACGCGTGATCAGCTGCCCGCCCAGGGTGAGGATGATATCGCCTTCCTCAAAGCTGTCTACGGCCTCGGAGGCAAAGCCCGGAGGCGGACAGTCGACCTTGCGGACCATGAACAGTTGATGCCGGGCGGGGTTCGCCCGTGTCACTTTCTCGATCCACTCCTCGGACACGCCCATGATGCGGGCCTGGCTCATCTGCACCACGTAGCTCTCCATGTTCAGGATCCGCAGCGTGGGCATCTCGCCTTGCTGCACCTTGGACAGGACAGGCAGAAGAGACGGCGTCGCGAAACCCAGGTGGTACTCGACGTCCTTGTGCGAGTTCCCTGTGCGTTCACCGAGGTAGTTCAGCCAGAGTGCGTGCACCGTGCCATCCTCGCCGACCAGTACACCATTGGAGCACTGTCCGCTCAAACCAGTGTCTACCGTGATGGCGTCCAGATTGATCGCGCGGTAGCGCGGGGCCGAGGCATTGGCCGGAATCGATACGGTGGTGATATCGGTGACGGCGGTCTTGGCCACCACGATGCGGAAGTTCTGGTTGAAGCCGACGAAGATGGTGTCCTGACCCTGCTTGATGTACTCAGTGCTGAGCTTGGCGCTCTGAACCGGAGCCTGGACCAAGCTGGGGTCGTACTGAATGATGCTGTAATTCTGGAGAGGATGCAAGAACACCACCTTGGCGGTGACAATGATCGAGTCGGCCACGGTGACGTTGATGTCGCAGAGGTCGTACGGAACAATGGCACGCGAAACCACGACCAGTCCCTTCTCAGCGTCAACGACCAGACCGAATCCCGTCTTCTTGGCTTGGGGATAGCCGTCCAGCTTGAGAGGCATCGTGCACGACACGCGCACGAAGCTGCGCACAATGGCTGCGGCAGCAGGCTGACTCACCCCATCAAGCTGGATGAAATCGGCTTTCCTCGGCACAGGAGGCAGGGCGGGGACGGGGTCCGCGAGATCAGAGAAGTCCCAGAGCCCAGTGGAATCATTCCGCACCGCCAACCGCATCTTCGGGTGCCAGTGTCGGTCGATATAGACAATGCTGGTACCGCGCGTGTGGAGATCGCGGATGTGGCGATACGAGATGACCACCCGCGAGCGATCAGGGATCGTCTTCATGACCTCCACAAACTCATCCAGTGTCCGCGTTGGCCGCTTATCCACGGAGTCAATCAGCCATCCCGACAAGGTGTTTTCCAGCTTGAAAGACCCGGCAGCCTCGCAGACATAGACGCCGCGGGTAGCGATGGCATACAGACGTGCCTGCTGGTAAGACAGATTATGGAACGTGCCTCCCGCTACTGTCACGAAGCGGTCGGGCGTGATGGCATGCAGGTCGCCAACCTGGCACTCCACCTCCACATCTTGACCGCCTCTTTGCACGAGCAGACGCACCGTCTGCCCGACGCTCGAATCCAGGATGTCGTCCAGCCGAATGAACTGAGTCAGCAGCTCCCCGTTGACCTCCAGAAGCACGTCTCCCTCCTCGAGCTTTCCATCTGCCGGGCCCTCCGGCAGGATGATCTCGGCCACCAGCATGCTGGTCTCCGTGGGAGCTGCCTTGCGCACGGTGGCCTCCCACTCAGGCGTCAGGCCCAACCGACGACACTCGTCGAATGGCTTGAGAATCCATTGTGTCTGAATGGTTCCTCGCGTGACCGGCTGACCGCGACGGATGCATTCCAGCGCACGCAACGGCCGGTCCAACGGGAGGAAGTAATCCGTAGCTGCGCCATCAGCGCGACCACCAGCCTGCAAAGCAATTGCATGGCCATCGATGTTCACGACAGGACTGCCGGAACTGCCACCACTCGCTGCCGCAGCGGCCTGAATGTAATTGGTGTTGAAATCACTGTATCCCTCGCCGTATTCCGGAGCATTTCGATCCAAACGACTGATGACACCAGACAGAATACTAAGCTTTTCTCCTGCATCGTTACCCACGACACGAATCTCCGATCCGACCTTGGCCGCATCCGGTTGTAGTTTCAATTCCTTCAAGTTCATATATCGAATTGCTTTCGGGTCGAACTGTAAAATTCCGAAGTCGTGCACAGGGTCTCGGTAAATCGGACGGACATCACACTGATATGGTTAGGGCTGCATAGAACAATGGTGGTGAAGAGCCTGCGCTTGGGTTGATAGGGCTAAGCCAACTCACCTCTTCATGGTTGTCAAAGATACAGTATCCCCAGAAGGGTCCTGGACACACCACGTGTCGATTTGTCAAGATATAACCCCGCTCCGCGTCGACCACAAAACCAGTCGCCTGGCTGCTCATCGACAGTTCCGTGTCGAAGGAGCACGTCTGACAGAAGTGGATCGACACAACGCTTTTCACGACCTCCTCAATGGTGGCCTGCCACTCAGGCGAGTCGGCCTGTGCAGCTCCCAGGGGCAACAACCGACCAGCATCCTCCTCTTCCTCCACGTCGTAAACAGTTCCATTCGCGGGAGTGGAGTCGCCAGGCGTTAATGTGCTGGTTTCGGGACGGAGATGCTTTGCGGGCCGCTCGGCGGGCGCGGCGATCGAGCCGCGCTTGCGCTTGGCGCCTGCGTCACCATTCATATCCATCTGTAACGTATGACTCTGACGGCCACGGGGTCTGAGAGATAGAGCTGCGAGCGAAGTAATGGAGCGAGTGAAAATAGCGCTGGAATGGTTGATGTTCCTCGGGGCTATATTGCTTGACCACAGACCGGAGCTTTGACGGGGGACTCGCTGCGGTTGCAGGCAGCGATGAGGATAATGTAGTGAACGGTTCGAGGAGTAAGGATTGAGTGGCAATATGGAGGTAGGGAAGTGTCTATCAATTGAAGGCGAGGTGTGGTGGTGCCACGGTATATCAGGAGGACAGGAAGTAGTCGGCGAATGTAGCGGCGGCGGCGGCGGCGGCGCTGCGGCGCGGGCTGGAGAGGTAGCGGCAGCTACAGTAGAGAGAGTGATGGCAGTTTTGGGTGTGTTGCTAGTAGCGACAGACAGTAAGCTCCTTCTGTAAAGTCGGAGCGAGACGCAAGACATTCACAAGGTCCTCAAGCGACAAAGACTGTTGCAGGAAATGAGAACTGGAGGAGGGGGGGGGGAAAAGCTGAAAGAGTGACGAACTGCAGGGCGGAGAACTGACTTGAGGCAGAAAAGCTCAGATAGGCGGTCAGAGAAAAGCTATCGACTGATTGGCCAGTCACCCTCCACCGCCCGTCAAGCTGCAGCAACACAGTCTGATGACCAGATCAGATGGATTGGCGCTTGGAGAAAGACAGGGTCAACGCGGTATGCATATATTCAGAATAGTAATTGTAGTGATGGCAGTGGAACCTATCTACATCTCTATCAATGCGTGGCTATAGTACACTTGGAGGCTGTTTCCCTTCCCCACTATGTCTCTACCTCAAACCCGGGCGCCTGGTGGCAACCACTGCAGTCCTCCACCCAGTTCTAGCTATCATTGTGCCTGATCCAAGATCCTAATCGCTTGCCCGACTTCATGAGATTTATCATGTTGTCTGGGCCAATTATTCCACGGAGACGCGTTCTCCTACATTGACGCGTGATCGAGCAGAGGGCGAGCTCATATCATCCTTTGTTTGGTGTCAAAATGGCGCTGGTCGACGAAGCCCGGTCCAGAGATCATATGTTGATGTTCGTAATCAGCACTGGTTCAGACCACTACCCAATCCTATGTATCGCACTCATGTCGATACTAGCCTTCACTACGTAACAGAAGTGACAGGGAAGCTTCCAATCCGGTATAGAAGTCTTCAATGGAAACTTTCGTTCAAGGGCGACACTTGCGCCCGTCGCCAAGGTGCCCTCGATGATCTGCAGGGTCTAGAGTCTCTGTCTATCCAAGGGTGGGTGTTCAGACGACTGTCTCGGTAGCGGGGGAAGGGCTGGGGCGGCCGTTTCCTTGTAGGGCCTGGGGACTAGGCTGAGGTGTTCCCATGCTACCTTGTGTCGAGCGAGGACACAATTCACTGAGTCGGCTGTAGAGATCGGTCATTGAGGGCATATGTGGCGGTGGCGTCATGATGGCAGGGCCGCCAGGAGCAACACCACCTGACTTCTTGGCTCGGTCGGCCACGGTTGCCAAATAACCCAGGTTGGCTTGCAACCGTCGCATACACTCGACATACTCCGGGCTTGGGCGCTGGTTAGACTTGTCGGAAGTCTGCTCCGAGGTCGGCGACGGGTTGGACTCTTGAGAGCCTTGCGGAGTAGGCGCAGTCCCAGCCTTGCCGGCTGCCTGAAGATTTATGACTTCCTGCAGCAGCATCGAGTTGATATCCAGAAGAACCGTCACCCGAGCCTTCTCTCGAGCAGCCGCGGCAGGCGACTGGGGGGCAGAAGGAGACGAATTTGGCACCGGGTTGGGTTGCGGGGTCGGTCTCGGTTGTTGCGCTGAAATCATGTTGGCCGAGGGAATTGAGGCCATGTTGGAAGAAAATGATTGTGCAGCAGTGCCAGAAACCGCAGCAGCTGAAGTCGCCTGGGGAGGAAGAAATTGGCCCATCGAAGTCGGGACAGGTGGCTGGGCAAATGGCGCCGCGAAGCTGGCGTGGGGTCCTGCAAGTCCATCCCGTTGATTAGCGGCTTGTCCCTGCAGCCGACATTGTGTCTAACTTGAGACACTTGGGCCAGCAGCCCAGTGTTGCTCCATGAGCGACAACAACAGCTAAAAGGTAACTAGGGTGACAAGAGGTGACACGATAGTGGAGATCCGCCCAACCATTGGTCCTGTAACATAGCGAGAACGCGACCAGACCAGGTCAGATGCGGTAGAGTCGATATTGGAAATGATGTCCAATGCGACGAAGCAATTGTTGATCTAAGGAGGCCCAGTGGGTGGGGAAGCAATAAGGGGAGAGGGGAGGCGGGAGAGGAGGGATAACGCGGGCACAAAGGGTACAAAAGAGGTCACAGGAAAGTATTGAAGTATCGAGGATAGGCAAATCAGATAAGAATTGACAATAGGAAAGTACCACTCCCATGACAGAGTGGTGATGACAACGTACCTTGTGATTGCTGGGGAAAGCCAGTCGGCATCATTGCTCCACCGGGGCCGGCCTGCATAGGCACGGAATTGAAAGAATGCGGTAATTGTTGCTGAGGAGTCATATGGGATGGAGGTGTAGACTTAGGCTGGGGAAATGAGGGCATAGCATTGGGATAGTAAGGGAACTGTTGGGGACTTTGAGTGGTGACAGGAAAAGCCGCGGTCTGCTGCATTGCAGTTGGGAAGCCGGAAGGATTATTCGAGTCCATGGCTGATAGTTAGATGATGATGTGAGAGAAAACCGCTGGACTGGGGTCCCAAGCTTTCGTTCCCCTCTCTTGCTCTCTCTCTTTGGGGTTTGTTTATTCTCTTTTATTCTGGGCGAAAATCCGAACAATTTCTTTTTTTGTTTTTGTTTTTGTTTTTTTAAGAAAAGAATTAAACCTTCGACGGAACACGTCCGTAAAAAGTCAGTGTCAGAGTTCGGAGCAGTTCTCTGACTCGCGGGAATCCAGGGATGGACGGAAATGCGACACTAAGCCCGGGTCCCTAACGCCTTAGTGGCCTGTGAACGGTGGCTTTAATTGCCTATGGGGTTTTCTGGAACAATCCACGGAATCGAGGACTGAGGGGAGAATAGGAGCAAATAAAAATGCAGGAAAATCACCAAGGTCAATTTAAGATTAGAGGAAAGAAGATGGGAGGGGAGGGGGCCCTTGATTGGGTCGATGGAGGGGGCCACGACAGAGAGGCAGACCGACTGAAAGGGGAGAGAGGAAAAGGAGGGGTGGAGGAGAAGATCAGGGGAGAGAAGAAAAAGGCGACCACTGGGGGTAAGCTGATAGCTTAAGCCTAGCCTAGAGGGAATAAATGCGGCATGCAAGAAAGGAACAGATAATAGCAATAGACAGACAGACAGATAGACAGTCAGTCAGTCAGTCATGGATCGAAGGGCTGTGCGAACAGTGGAAAGAGGGAAAGGGTCAGGACTCGGGAAGAGATTTGCTGGCCGGATTCAGACTGATCAACCCGCGAGCGATTGGATGATAACACATGGCCTACCATTCGTCCGGGCGGGCCGGTAGGTGGGGTTCCAAGAGTGCAGTGGTGGGAAAGTCCACACTGGGCACTGTCATACTCATACTACTAACTTAGTACTATAGTCATCCTCAAAATTCATGAGAGATAGTCGTTGACATTGACAGACTTCCAAGATGGATGATCAGTTAAGTTATGTGAGCACTGGGCAAAGTGCGGTACTTCATAGAATGTGGACGACAATTAGCTGACATCGTCACAATTGGTGTATTACTAGCGTAAGATACGCAGTTACAGGCACGTTGGCTATGTAAAAGAGGTACTTGTATTTTTGTAACAACAACTTGTGCACCTGAGGCACCCCATGGATCATGGATCCATGATGGTTTGCCTTCCTGCCTTGTTCGGAAGGCATAGAGTCATCATAACTGTGTAACCGAAAGCTCCAGGCTTCATCACTTTCTCTCTCCCTCCCACCTCTCTCAGCTCTCTTCTCCCCACTAGTTACTGCTCTCAAAGTGCATCCAAGTGCACATCATCTTTAGCCCCGCAGGGTGAGCCCACCAATCGAGGGCGAAGCACGCATGGCAACTTCATTGCTTCAATTGTACTCCGTACAGTACGAGCACTACTAAGGGCTCGAGGCCTAGTACGGACAACGGATAGTCCTAGCCATCACTTTGGGAAGACGACGACGGAAGAATTCCCCCAACTATCGATCGTTCGCAATAGTCTATGTACTGTACTGTACAGTAAACCTACTGTACTTTTGCGACCAGCATCCCGCGGCTGATCGTCCTCGCAGGTCGGGTAGTCTTCCAGAAGCCCCGATACTAGGGTCATCGAAGGTTTCCGATGAAACTGATCTCAGGTCCTGCCATTCTCAGAACCAGTCTCGGCTGCTCTCCTCCGTACCAGGCTGGATGGCATCTGTCATACCGATGGAGCCATCCAGCCCCACGCGAATTGATCCCTCACCCGCACTAGCCCTCAAGTCGGTGACCCGTGCTCAATTGTACATGTACGTCGTTTCCAGACTCGGGGTCTACCAGCGCTCGAACCACCTACCTACCGGTGGCGTGGCTGGTGTGTCTGCTTTCATGGAGAACCGAAGAAGTTGCGGTAATGGGAAAAAGCCAGTAAGCTACTTCTAACATGATGTTCTCAATTTTAATGTCAATGGGCTCTGAATGAAGCTGCTTACTAGACACGTTGCCTCCATTTCTCAGCAGGATAATGTGGTCGAGCCGGTATGATGCCCCAATGGCCGTTAAATACACCATCAGACATGCTCTGAATGCGAAACACGATGCATCAAAGCCACCAGTGCACTGTCAGGTAGTGGTCGGACTGTTGATTCTCTACCTATCAATAATCCATCCCCAGTCATACAATAATCTCGAGGGCAACCACGAAGGACGGCTGAGAGCGTAACTCGATCGATGTCTTCGTCTCAACGAAAGTGTTGTTATTAATAAATCGTGCTAACCATCCATGGATGGCGATGGAGCGTGTAATAGTCGAGTCGCTACGTCCGGGAGCCTTCCGACATGCATGACTGCTGAGCGCCCAGCCAGAGAGACAGGTCATCTAATCATATGCAATATGCGACCCGCTGCAGTCCACCCAACCCACTCCCCAGAGGTCTAACCCAAGAAACCCGAATTTGTCCATACTTGGACCCAACGGAGAGGGCCGCCCCCGTCAACGATCATGGCGTTTCCGATCGCCCGGTAGCTGGTACTATGGTCATGTCTTTGCTGCGCTCACACCAGTCGTGTGAAGCGCCTAATGATACCCCTATACAGAATAGTCTTGTCGCCTTTGAGGAGATTACAGGGGTCGGTCGTCCGAGCCCTCTGTACCCCGTAACTATGCCAGATCTTGGTCCTCCAAGCGAATTCGAGATTTGTCATTCTTCGCGAATCGGAACTTCGGCCGGTGACCAGTCATAACCTTGTTTTCGAATATAATAGGTGACGCCGACGGCGAGCTGGAAGAATGCGTGGCCAATAGCCTTGGAAGCTCGCAAGCATGTTCAATGCCAGCACTACGAGGGTCTATGTGCAGTACTCCATAATTAACTCCACGCCCATCCTGACCTCCAATTTCATCCTTGGATGTCGCCTCTACTCACCATTGTCGGACATTTCACCGACAATGTACAGTACTTACCCACTGTGTCAAAATAACCAGGCTCCTAATAATCCGCTTCGGGAAATTCGCCATCCATCCACGATGACCACCAAGTAGCGCAATGTGGCAATGAACGATTGGAGTCTAGACCCGTCTGCTTGAAGCGATAGTTATTGACAAATTGATGTCTATCATGTGGATAGCATGGGTGACAACCAGCATAGGCGCAATGCCAACAACTCTTTGGGATAATGCCCGTGATGAGACATGGCAGGAAGGACCGACTACGGACAGAGAACGATAGCCTTCAAATGATCATTTAGACTATCGCAATTTTTTTCCGCTCGCAACTTCGCTCTCTATAGTTCGTTTTGCTATTCATCGCGATTAGCTCTGGTGCCGTCCTATGAGTATTGCGGTGGGTCATTTCCAGCCGGGGCGGATCCACACAGTAAACTTTCGACTGATCGATTTGTCCCAGAATGATCATCAGCGTTCTGCATGGCTAATGCTTCGCTGTGAGACCGCTAGGGACCACGTAAGTACGTTGAACGGTCATACAGTCAGTACTTGGCCCTATCCTGTTACTACTTGGGCATCTCGATACGACGTAATGCCCCCGACATTGTTAAGAGGCAAGTTTCTCGCGTTGCTCATGCTGGGTTGTTACCCATTGCACTGATTCTCGTCTGCGGCCCCATTCGTGTTGCTTCTCGGATGATGCTAACGGTACGATCAGTGCCTGACACCCGATGCACGAAGCAAGGAGGAAAGGGTTAGCGGAATTAAGTCATTCGCTAGAGAGGCAATTGAAGTGATAGGAGAAAAATGAACACGATGATTACCGGGATTGGGCAGTGTACCTTGTGAGGATCATTCTCCACCCGAACTACTCCGTTTTATCACTCCGACTCGAGGCATACTCAATCTACAGCATACCCTAGATAGACTTACCACCAGCCCTTGAGGGACCGTGACTCTCTGGTCGTCTATTATTTGCACTGCATGCAAATGGAGCTTGAAGTGCCGGTGAGTGACGGATCGACAATGGCAAAGACCTTGTGGAAACGAATCAATGGCATCTACGGGGTAGCGGCCCTCGGCTCGTTCCCCAAGAACTGTCAACTATACGGGATCCTTACCTATTCAGGGAAGACTCGAGAGGTACTTTTTACGCTCTCCAATAGTCATACCTGAGGGTAACAACACAGAAAGGCATTAGTATTCACGCCTGAATGCAAGCGAGCGGATGGGTCCCCATCCGCTGCTGTGCCACATAGGGCCACGCATTAGTGACACGGCTTGGATGCATCCAATGGTCTAGCTTCTATGGCACTGATTTTCTCTTATGGGCTATCTCGTTCTGGTGCTTCTTGGGGAAGAAAAGGTCATTAGGGCTAATGGTGATGCAGTGGGTGCATCATCCACCCGGAGGCGACCTAGGGACAGCTGATACTTGGATTGAGGGCGATCCTGTAAGCTTGATACAGACTGTGGATCTATTGATCGCCCCGTTCATTCGATTTGCCTCAAATCGGTCCCAGACCGTCTCCCATGCATGTTTAAAATGCCTGCTCTCGTGCCCTGTCTCTGACTCGTCGTGAGTACTTCTATGTGCCTTGCACCTTTCTTACCTGCTGTGTCAGAGCGAGCTTCTGAAGGTCTAATTGTCCCAACCATTGGTCATCTTGACTTGTCACCATTTCCTTGATTGTTTCACAGCCATGGTACTGATTCACCTGGGTGACCTCGCAACATAAGCTAACTGCACCAGGCTCATACTCCGGTATCAATGGATGCGCCATTAGACGGGCTGGCCTGTCTGCACTTTGCTCTGATTTACATCGATGACAGCGGTAAATTGCGCTTCGAAGCATCACCTTCAATTGCGGATAGCTGCCAGACAATTCTGTCGCCAAACGTGACCGAGAGCTTTCTACGGGCCGTGGCTTTGTCTGGGAAGGACGAGTCGAGCAAATTTCTAGGTAAACCTTGCGCTGCCGCACATTGACTTCAGATGCGCTGACATCGGCAAAAGAAGGGTCAAGAGGCAGAAGCCCATTGTCGCCTGAGTCTCCTAACAGCAAATCGATGTATGGCAACACCATGTCCTCATTGATGATGCAAACTAACATATTTTCAGGTTCCGCAATACCTCAGAGCCTTCCTCAAATAAGCGGAAACGAGTGTCGCATGAATGTCTTGTACCAATGAGCATCACTTGTCACCAGAAAACCATGCTCCCTATTCGCAATGCTAGCATCCTCCGGCGATACTATGAGAAGG